CTGATTCTCATCTCAGAGGCAGCTCTGAGAGAGAAGCCTCATTGCACTATTTCAAGAACACTCAGTAATGGAGACTTTTACCTGTCAAATGAGTTTCACAGTCTGACAAAATTTTCTTCATTTTGGCAAGCCTCAAACATACTGGACAATTTCTGCCCCCCCCCCTCCATTTTGTTTTCTTCTTTTTAAACATCCTTGAATCTGCTCTGTTAGTGAGTGGCTTAAATTGATTGTTTCAAATGAAAACAATATAACATAGAAAAGAGAACAAATAGTAAAATGAAAACAAGTTTTTTTTAAACTAGAGAAACAAGTATCTTGTATGTATTAAAGTTGATTAACAAAGATATTTTAAAGCATGAAGTTCATGTTGACAAAGGAAGAAAGAGCTCCAAGGTTGGGGTAGGATTGAGAACACTGGAGAGGTCATCCCATGGCCATGCCAAAAGGGAGCCTGTTCACTGCTTCAGAACACAGCGGGGACCTGCCAGAGAGATTTGCCTCACATTTCCAGAACCCACTGCGATGTGGGAAGTCCTTCTGTATATGTGTTGCTTTAATTGGTTAATGAATAAAGCTGCTTTGGCCTATGACAGGACAGAATATAGCCAGGTTGAAAGAGATAAATATGGAGAGTAGGTGGAGTCAAAGAGATGTCATGTAGCTGCCGAAGAAGAAAGACACCAGGTCCTTACCAGTAAGCCACAGCCTCGTGGGGATATATAGATAAAAAGAAATGGGTTAATTTAAGATGTAATAGTTAATTAATAAGAAGCCTGAGCTAATAGGTCAAGCAATGTTGCAATTAATATAGTTTCTGTGTGATTATTCGGGTCTGGGCAGTTAGGAATGAATGAAGAGTCTCTGCTTACACCTCTGTTATATTCCTAGTTCCTGGAGACCATAAGTCTTCAAGAGCGGCTGTGGGAAAAGGTAGAAGGAGGCTGCTGGAAGGCAGCTGTACCCCACAGGTGTGCTTGAGGAGTAGGCAGTGTCTTAGCTACTCTTCTATTGCTGTGAAGAGACACCATGGCCAAGGCAACTCAGAAAAGAAAGGGCCAGGCTACAGTTTTAGAGGGTTGGTCCATGGTCATCATGCAGCAAGCAGGAAGGTATGGTTGGTGCTGGAGTAGCAGCTGAGAGCTTTCTATCCTGATCCTTAGGCAGGGGGAGAGAGAGAGACAGAGAGAGAGAGAGAGAGAGAGAGAGAGAGAGAGAGAGAGAGAGAGAGACTGGACCTAGAATGGGCTTTTGAAATCTCAAAGCCCACCTCCAGGGATATGAATCTTCTAACAAAGCCACAAGGCCACACGTCCTAACATATTGGGGCCATTCTCATTCAAATCACAACAGGCGACAGGGACCAGGGAAGATACCCCAAGGGAGATGAAGGCAGGTCTGTGCCCAATTCACAGACCCCCATCTTTCCCACCTGAGCCACAATCTACAGCAGTCGCCTTCCTCATCCATGCCCTTGTGATCACAAAGCTGTCTTCCACCTACTCCGCTGTGGTCACCAGACACGTAGGAACCCAAGTCCTCCGCCACGCTTTCCCTCTGTCCTCAGCCATCCACACACCTCACTCGAAGAGATCACTTCTCAGATCTACAAGTGAGAAAATTAAATAATTGCACAGTGGGGTCAGGGGACACACAGGTCACACAGGAGGAAGAGCAGAGCCAGGATGGGCCTGCCTCTATGTGCTCCAGGTGTGCAGATGTGCCTGTGTGTGTGTGCATGCATGTGTAAGTGTGTGCGTGCGTGTGTAAGTGTGTGTGTGTGTGTAAGTGTGTGTGTGTGTGTGTGTGATACGGTTTAAATCTCTTCTGTTTTTTCATCTCTTCCTGGGAGTGAGGTTAGATAGCATCAACCAAAACTTAGAAGGAAGCAGCTGTGTCTCCATGGATTCCTTGGGATCCAGAAGTTCAAGGCTCATGGTAGACACTTGATGAATACATGGAATACATGTATACTATACAGGTCACCTCCCCAGTTTTATCTGCCTTGTGTATGGTGTTTTATCTGAACCTAGAAGCCCATAAGGATCAACTAGACCAGGACCAGGTACAAGCAGCAAAGTTGGCAGCCCAAAAGAATTCACAGAACATTCCAGTTCTCTTTGGTCAACTCCCCCTCTCTCAAATCACCCAGAATGAAATAATGTCTCCTCCTTCTCCACTGCAGGCATGGCTAGTGTTCTCCCAAGGAGTTTGGGAGAAGCTTGTCATGGTGGTAAGCCTAGTCTGTTGGGGACTGGGGTGGCGTTGGAGGTAGCAGTCACATTGTCACATGCCATTTTGATTTTAGGAAGAGAGAGTATGAGCGAGTGCTTTGTCTCAAGTGAGATTTGAGGCACCAGGAAGCATGCTGATGTACCTGCAGGCCAGATTCCTTCCCATGGCTGGTTCTGAGTTCAGAGATGGCTCTCCCTCCACTGCCCACTGCTCAGAGAAAGTGATTATAAGTGGGCATCTAGTAGAGTTGGGGTGATCGGGACAGTGTGCCCAGGGAGCATGCTCAGGGAGGACTACGGCAGATACAGCCACCCTGAATGTGTAGCTCTCAAATATCTGTGAGTAGTTTAGCCACCTCATTGCTGTCCAGTGTTTCCTTTCCATCTCGTGCCCATCCCACATGCCCCTCAATGCTGTATTGTGTGCAGAATTATTTTTGTATTGATTATGACTTAACATCTTAGGAAACAAAACCAAGCCTATGATGGATTCCATGACCAGTCCTGGTTTGTGGAATTCCCGCTCCGTGGAGGAGGAAGTGTTTTGCCTGTAGTTCCTCTTTAAAGGCTCAATAGTGATGAATGGTTAACTACAATAGTATGTTTTAATGTGGAGTTGGGACACACACCTGTAAGCCTCTGGTGCAGTGGTTTTCTAGCTTGTGTGGGAGGACTCCATCTTCAAAGAAAACCTTACCTGGAAGCTGACCTAGAACATACTGCAAACTCTGACTGTTTGTGCTATGTCTAGGGCTTGCCTCCCACATTCACAGGTCCAGAAAGGAAAACATGCCTGCACTCCCTGCTCAGTTAACACCCAGAACACAGCACCTACTACGTTTTAGGAGGGGGAAGAGAAGAGGACAAAGATGGTCTCTGCTTTCTTCTTACTTACCCTACAGCAGACAGCAAAGGTCAGTTTAGAATGTGGCCACTGCTGTCAACGGGGCACACTGGGATGTTGGGGTCTAGCTGGGAACTGGCTCTTTCAAATGGGACACCAAGAAAGGCCACAAGGGATGGGCTCACCCTGGAGCCAACATCAGAATGGTACTTGGACATGCCCTGATGTTGGCCAATGGGAAGCAGATCCATAGATCGAAATGACTTTTTCTAAAAGCCCAGACAATGCTTAACTCTGTTTCTAGGCCCCCATCCCCAGGGTTCTTTCCTTCACAAACATTAACTAAGTAGCCAACACATGAAAAGGTCTCTGTGACAGATGACGTTCAAGGGCCACAAGCCTCCTGACCATGTCTTGGTGTTGGGTACTCGCTGTCTGTGTATAAATGCTGAGCTGAAACTCCCCCATCCCCTTACACTGACCCAGGACTGGACTTGGTTCCGAAGTCCCTGTGCCACAGAAGGCAGAATTCCGCAGGGAATGACCAAAACCTGTGGGCTTGGTGAACAAACATCTTCACTTCCTACTTTCTGGGGGAGCAAACTGTAGGGAGCTAAACAAGATGGCAGATCGAATCACCCACATTCTCGTGGAGGCAGGCTTTCGGCAGAAGTAAGGCTCCCAGGGTATTTGAAGACCATTGAAGCCAGTTTCTTTTCTGTGCTGCTGAAGACATTGATACAGAAACTGTGGGAAGCCTATCTGTAATTTCCACATTTCCAACTGAGAGTCCAGACGCCAGCTCCAGACAGACACCCCTCTGGTGCTGAGTGTAAGGGCTCCCTTTACCACCGCAGACCAAGCAGTTGCAGACCACCAGGGCTTTCTCAAGCTGCCAGCTGGCACCTGTGTGCCCAGCACCATCCCCTTGCCTAAAGCCCCATCCCAGGCATCCTCCACACCCCCCCCCCATTGTTCCTCCAGCTATCTAGGAGACATGTAGGAACACGGTTACTGGCTCCGCTGTGTACAATAAGCCATGGAACTCTGATAACCTTCCTGGGTAAAGAGCCGTGACACAGTCATGGCAGCTAAATTTTCTATTAAGTCTCTTGCCGGGGCCTCTGGTTGCTTCTTCCTGTGCACTCTGAGGTCTAGACCAAGTTAAGATGCCAACCAGCCCTCCTCTCCCCTACTTTCCAGCTAGTTCATTCCTGTGAGCATTGTATAACCCACAGGAAACACATACATCCCACAATCGTCTTCACTCCTGAGCACAGGAAGCAGTCAGCTGCAGACACAGGGCTCAGCACGTGCCCACAGGTGACAAGGCCTGCCAACTCAGAACTCCATATGCTCTAACGCCCAGCAGGGCCCTGAGGCCTGGTGGATAGCCCAGCCTGGGAAGACAGACTAGACTGCCTGGGAACAATCCCCCAGTGTCCTGGACTCAGCAGCTGCCAGCAGTTAGCAGACCCTGCTTTTCATGGGGTCCTGCAGCCTTGCCTCCGCTAACAAATAAGAGGCAGCCCCTGGCATTTGGGGTGAACAAAGAGGGGGACATTTTCCGGAGGGACAGTTATGTACTGGGTATGCTGCGTGGCCCAGGCTCTATCAGAGGCCCAGCGAGAAGTTAATCATAATAATCCCCAGGCAGAAACGCAAGGCAGATCTTTAGAGTAGTACTGACCTCCCGCAACTACCCCTGCTGAGCATAGTGCGACACCTACACAAGCACCCACCACAGGTCCAGTGGCTTCCTGTCCCACCCTCACTCAAGGGCCACTTTCCTGCCCACCGAGTCCCTCTGGGGTCCTGTTAGGGATGGGCAGCTGAGCTGGGGGCGTCCTCTGGGGCATCCCCTTGGTACTTGGTGCCAGTCCCACCAGAGGCGTGCTGTCTCCGCCGCCACCTGCACTTACCGGGCCACAACCGCTGGACTGGATGTAGGGAAGGATCGGGATCCTGGAGCGGTGACTGCTGCTGCCCTGGGCACAGCGGTCTTCCCAACCCCGGGCGCTCCCTGCCTCTCTTGCAGCCTGCCGGGCGCCCCTCTCGCAGACTGGCCAGCTGGGACGCGCCCACAGGCCCGGGGCGGGCGGGGACCGGCTGTTCTTTGTTTGGAGCTGGCTTTTTTATTTTTCTTTCTCCAGTTCAGAGCACACGGAGCTCTTGGTCCTGGCAATTGTGCAGAAGTGGCCCCGAGAAACTTGTGGGGTGGGGGTGGGGCGGAGACGGAGAGGCAGCCATCCCAGACCCACCCACTCACTCTAGAATCCCCGTCTCGGACTTAGATTGGTCCTCATGAAGAGGAGGAAAACTCAGGCTCCGGAAAGAAGTAAATCCTTGAGGGGTTCCACGGGGTATCGAGAGGAGCCTCTCACTTCTCTCCTTACTCCTGCGACACAAGAACCATCTCTCAAAGTCATGCGGACCATCGTTTTTACCCTCCGTGGAACCAGAGAAAAGCCAGATCCCTTCTTAGACTGGAACACAATGGAAGGGCAGACAGCAGAGGCTCAGTCTTTGCCAGTGGGTGAGGGAGCAGAGTTGCTGACCCCAGCTGCCCAGCAGCGGGGGAGCACCCTGTGTGATCTACAGAGAGGAACACCGGCGCTTAGCCAGCCTTGACTGCAGTGAGCAAGACTTGCTGCTCCTTAGTTATTTTTCTTTTTGCTGTGTCAAAATACCTGGCAAGAACAACTTACGGAAGGATTTGTTCTGTCTTACAGTGTGAGGGTGCAGTGGGTCACAGACGGCACAGTGACAAGAGCAGAGGTGGCTGGCCACATTGGGTCTGCAGCCAAGAACCGGAGAGGGATGGATGCTCAGATTGCTTGCTTTTTGTTTCTCTTTGTTATCCTGTCCAGATTCCAGTATGGGATAGTGTCACATACATTCCCTCAGTGAAACATCCTCCTAGACACACCCGAAAGTGTGTTTCCTAGCTGATTCTAAAGCCAGTGAAGTTGACAACTGAGTCGCAGACGGCAGGGAAAGCTGAGCTTACCTGGCTACTGAGGTACCAGCGCCCCCTAAGTACCCAGCTAGCTCCTAAGCATGGGCTATCATAGGGGACATGAGTTGGGACTGCGGTTTGGATGTGTTTTGTCTCCTTCAAAATTCACCCTGAGGGATTGACGAGGTAGCACAATGATTAACAAAGAGCACTGGCTGTTCTCCCAGAAGACCCAGGTTCAATTCCCAGCACCCACATGGCAGCTCACAGCTGTCTGTAATTCCAAGATCTGACACTATAGTAGAGATATATGTGCAGGCAAAACATCAATGCATATAAAATAAAACTCATCCTGACATCTAGTGCCTAGGGTGGAGGGGTGTGGGACCTTTCAAAGTGCTTGGGTGCTGATGGCTCCTGGAGGGATTAATGCTGCTCTCATAGAACAGGGCTGATTCTCTGGGAAGTCAACTTTTGTGGTCCCACACTGGACTGGTTACACCAGAGAGCAGGTTATACTTATTTCATTTTTATATGTGTGCATGTCCATGTGTGTGGATGTGTTCATGTGTACACAAGTGCATGAATGTGTGTGTGTGTGTATGTGTGTGTGTTTGTGTGTGTAGAGCAGAGGTTGTCCCCCTTTTTTTGAAGGCAATAATTCCCCTCTTTCACTTTCTACCACGCTGTAACAGTGCGAGGCTCTTGCCAGATTTGACTGTCCATTTTGGGGCTTCTCGAGCTGCCGAACATGAGCTAAATAGACTTCAATTCTTTATATGTTGTTCAGTCTCAGGTATTTTATTGAAGCAGTGGAAGATGGACTAAGATAATGGGACGGAAGGATTTAGAGGAGGTGATGGAGATATCTGTGAGAAGTGAACTGGGTATGGGAGTGATGAAAAGATGCAAGTAGAGAGGGCAATAGAGAGCTGTGCAGCAGGAAGAAGAGCCTTGAGGGAGGGGCTGGAGTATGAGGGAGGGGCCTGCGTGTGAGGGAGGAACCTGGGGGTGTGAGGGAGGGACCTGGGGGTGTGAGGGAGGAGCCTGAGTGTGAGTGAGGGACCCGAGGTGTGATGGAGGGGCCTGCATATGGGGGAGGGGCCTGCATGTGAGGAGGGAGAGGCCTGGATGTGAGGGAGGGACCTGGGGTGTGAGGGGGGCCTGGGTGTGAGGGAGGGACCTGAGGTGTGAGGGAGGGGTCTGGGATGCGAGGGAGGGGCCTGGGATGTGAGGGAGGGGCCTGGGATGTGAGGGAGGGGCCTGGGGGTGTGATGGAGGGACCTGGGGGTGTGAGGGAGGGACCTGGGGTGTGAGGGAGGGACCTGGGGGTGTGAGGGAGGGGCCTGGGGATGGCGTTTGATATGATGGGAACTTTGGAAGTCTGGAAGTGGGCAAAGCCAATAGGGTTTGAGATTACTCAGAGGAAGGTGCCCATCCGTGTGCTGGAAAAAATGATTCTGAAAGTCTTAGGAGGGGGTGGAAGCAAGTTATGGAGTGATGAGAGAGAGTGAGATGGAAAGAGTGTGGAAAGGAAGAGCAGACAGAGCTGGAGACAGAACCCAGGTCTTCTGAGGAAGGAAACTGACACCATCAAGACAGATGGTGGAGCCAGGCTGCGGCTGCTAGACTGCAGAGCATGGGTGAAGAGGGAGGGTCAGTGGCGGCTTGTTATACAGGGAGAGCAACAAGGAGGATGCTCAAGAGAGCAGGGTGTAAGGTTCAGCTTGGGAATTAGGACACTTTTGGACACTTTGAGAATAATTACTTAGTACTGACTTGTATAAACCAGCTGGTCATTTGGTATGGTTCGGGGCTTAAACATCCGCCATTGGCTTGAGTGTTAAAGGTTTGGTGCTTTGGGGAGATTTGGAACTTTTAAGAGATGAACCAACCACATAGAAGGTGTCTAGGAACTGGGACAGAGACAGTGCCCTTTCAGGGCTATTAGAACGCTGGCCTCCTCCCCTTTCTTTGCTTCCTGGCTCCTGTAAGTGAGCAGCCCTGCTCTACCACATGCTCCCACTGCGTGTCCTGCTCTACCACAAGCCCAGAGCAATGGGGCCAAGCGACTGAGAGCTAAGAGCTTTGAAACCCTGAGCCGAAGGAGACCTTGTCCTCCTGAGAAATCGCTTATCTCAGGCATTTTGCCACGGTGATGGAAAGCTGACTGATGCTATAGTCTCAGCGGAAGGAATGGAAGGATCCTGGACCCAACTCGCAGATGCAAGGATACACAGGCAAGTCTCTTGGTTCCATTCCAGTGGTCTCTGAAGGCCACTCATGTTCCACAGCTTCTGAAAGGAAACCCCCAATGTAATCCATTCTCTACCTAACTCTGTTTGCTTCTGTCGTAAGGTGTTCCAGGAGTACCTTCTAGTGGACCTTCTGCATGCAGATCTCTCTCTGATGCACAGTATGGCAAGAATCGTTAATGTCAAGCTGGAGAGATGGCTCAGAGGTTAAGAGCACTGTCTGTTCTTCCAGAGGTTCTGAGTTCAATTCCCAGCAATCACATGATGGCTTACAACCATCTGTAATCAGATCTGGTGCCCTCTTCTGGTGGGTAGAGATACATGCAGACAGAATACGGTATACATAATTAATAAAAAATCTTTTAAAAAGTACATTAAAAAGAATGATAAAAAAGAATAGTTAATGTCTTAGCTTATTTTCTGTTGTAACAGAATACTGAAGATGGTGTAGGATATATATATGATATATATATGAAGTCTGTTTTAACTTCATGGTTTTGGAGGCTGGAAGTCAAAGATGGTGAGGCTTTATCTGTCTGGCTTTTAGATATAGAGTCATTGAGGAGGGGTTAGTGGTACAAAGACTACGTTGTGAAAATAGAGGTAAAACACACTGCATGAGCACGAGGAGTAATGGGCAGTTAATAATGTCAGGAGCAAGACTTGGGCAAGTCTATGAGATGATGGTCTTCAACTTGACCTAAAATGAGGAGCAGGGGGAGTCAGAAAGGGTCAGAGAAGCTGACAGCAAAATTCAAGGCAGACAGGGCTAGGGAGATGTCTCAGTGGTTAAGAGTTCTGGCTGCTGTCCCAGAGGACCTGGGTTCTATTCCAGTGTTGGGATTAAAGGCGTGCACACCACCGCCCGGCGATAATTTACTTTTGAAAGGAGGTTTATTAACCCATGGTTCTAGGGACAGAAATGACATGGTTGTATTTGCTTGCCTTTTGGTGGAGTGTGGGTATAAGAGGGAGGTACCTGCAAAAGAGAAAATGGTCAAGGGAGGGAGGACGTGGTAGCCTGGTGGTCTCCAAGAAATGGATGCTATTTCTCAAGAAAGACCAAATCCCTCTTGGAGGCCCTGTTGAAAACCCCTCAACACTGGCCATCAGATTGCAGCCTGAGTTGTGGGAAAGTGTGTTCAAGCCACAGGCATTCCTCAACCAACGCTGCATGTCTCCACAGTATGAAGAGAGAGACCTTCAAAGGCTCTCATCACAGAAAAGCCAAGTGCTGGGGGTGATGAATGGGCGAGTTCATTCGTTTTATCAAGCTATCCTACATTGCATTAAAAATGATAACATCTCCTTGTAGCCCATAAATGTATGCAATTGTGATCTGTCTGCAAATTCGATATGTAAAACACCAGGTGTGATTCATTTTAATGATGTGTTTTATTTAATGAGATGCGTTTAAAATAGTGTCACTTCGCACGGGTTAATATAAAAATTAATAACGTGATCACTTAAACTCTGGCTTATTCCATCTCTCAACTCTGGCCTGCACGGTTGGGGGAGAGATAGTTCTGGGGGAGGGGACAGACACAGGACTAAAGGTGTGCGGGACAAATGGTACTGCACTGATCAGCAGTCACAGCCCGTGGTGTGCTGGCTGTTTGCATTTCCCGAGCACCTGAGTTCAGACATTGGAGTTCCCAGAGCTTATATGCAGATGGCAGAGCCATTTGAAAGCCAAGTGGAGTGACCCTGGGCAGCACTGACACCTGAGCTCTCCAGGTACAGAATCAAATAATGACGTTTGAGTTTAAGTTTAGGTTGAATGAGCAAAAAGGCAGACAGACAAACCATTGTCCTTGATGTGCACTCGGCACCACCTGCTTTTGCTCAAAGAGTATCCCAGCTGGCCTTGAACTTCTGATCCTCTTCCC